CGGCGACCAAGACCACGACCACGACGACCAAAACCACGACCACGACGACCACGACCACGACCACGACGACAGGGACGAACTACACCCGCCCGGCGCGTCCGTTAATTTACTCAACAAGGCATCGCACACCGCTAATGGCATAATGTAATCATGTATGCACGTATTATTCTTAATGGGTACCCACCGTTCGTATTTATTGTGTTTTTGTGACGTCGGCACCTTTTACATGCCCCTATCTCGGGTATTGCCGCGCCGTCTATAATGACGTCTTGCCGGTATCGCAGCACATAAAGGTAGTGCTGACATAGAGAATGACAAAAAAAAAAACGTATTGTACCGTACCGTACCGTCTCATATACGACACCGTATCGCGTTCAGCGTGGCCGTACACCGTCTACCATGGCCAGACCACGCTCGGCTCCCCGCACGTTTCTGACGCACACACCCACCACTCCGACGACCCGTCCTGCTACGACACCGTTGCACCATCACTGCGTTCCGTACGTGATGCCGCAACCGTTACTCGCCACAACCTGCGGCTCCTAACCTTTCGGAACCCCGGGGCAAGTGTAGGAGAGTGCAGGCTCTCGCACAGAGGAAATATATCGCCTCACACTATTCCCCAAATGCAATCACTATAGAAACAACACACCTCTACGCTCTAAGTGATAAATAATAATAGAACGCCGCAGGTAATCACGATACACCACATGGCGTTGCTGAGCCGGCACCAGGTACAGGGGCCAGACCCAGACAGAGCCAGTTGTGTCCCATTGAGGAAGCATTTGAGATGCTTTATTACACCACTTGTTCCCTGGACCGAGGAGCAGGTGGTCGCACATTACACGGGGGCGAAGCAGCGTGAAATGGAGCGTGCAAGGGTAGACTTGCAGCACAATCCAATCAGTAAATTCGATGGCAGAGTGCGTATGTTCTTGAAAGATGACAAATATCCGAGTGGCAGCTATAAGGCACCAAGATGTATACAGTACAGGAATAAACGGTATGGGTTAAGGTTAGGTAGCTATTTACATCCAGTAGAATCGGCTGTCTATGCTAAGACTGATGGCAATGGTGATAGAATCTTTGCTAAGGGGCGTAATCAAGATCAGCGAGCAAGTGATCTAGCAGACCATGCTAGCCGTTATGCAGAACCTGTATGGATGTTGTTGGACCATAGCAAGTTTGATGCACATGTTGGTATAGGACTGTTGCAACAAGAACATTGGTTGTACGCAAAGTGTTTCGAGTGGTCTGGTGAGTTAGAACAATTGTTGAGAATGCAGCTGAAAAATCCTGGTAGTACTGTAAATGGGTTAAAGTACTTCACACCTGGCACTCGTTGCTCAGGTGATCAAAATACAGGGTTAGGTAATTCTGTGCTCAACTATGCCATGTTAAAACATTACTTGGATAGTTGTGGCATACAAGGTTCAATATATTTGGATGGTGATGACTCAGTGATCACCATGGATAAAAAAGATAAATACAAGACCCAAAGTATGAATTATTTTAAGCGTTTCGGAATGTCCACTAAATTAGAGTGGGCTTATACCTTTTCAGAGTGTGAGTTTTGTCAATGTCGACCAGTGTTTGATGGTGTTAACTGGCACATGACAAGAAACCCAAAGAGATTGTTTAACCGATGTGGTTGGATTGTTAGAAAATACCACAGAAATATGTGGGCGCGCTTGGTTCGTTCCATTGGTATGTGTGAGTTGTCACTCAATGTAGGTATGCCTATTGGACAGGCGCTGGCAGAGTCGTGGGTTGGTCTAGGAAGTGGACGCTACTTCGTGACAGATAGGCATTACCAGGCAGTGCAGATGCGTTATGGACCACTTAAGGCTAAACCACTGCCTGTAAGGTCTGTCACTAGGGAGTATTATTATCTGGCATGGGGTATCCCACCAGCAGAGCAGGTTGAGCTGGAGGGGAGGCTAAAACATGCGGCATTCACGTGTGGAAACACTAGTATGAGTGCCGTGTGCCATGCTATTGTAGCAACCATGTTACAAGGCAACCCCCCTCCCTCATGCGACGCGGGCTCCCCGCGTCGCTACATTCATTCTACGGCG